GCCCACCCGCCGCCACGGCCTGGTCAGTGACACTGACAGAAACAGAGGCAGGCGGAGTGGGGCCGACTACTACACCTGCAGCAGCTCGGCAGGCTCATCGGATGTCTCAGAAGCGCCGATCCGTTCAAACGGAACACAACAGGCTTAGCGCGGATCAGGAGCAGCTCCGTGAGCGAGCCGCACGAGTTTCATACCCGGGCGTGACGCGGCCGGCTTGGAATGTTGACAAACTGGGTCGCCAATCGGCCGCAGATGGGGTATGATGACCGCCGGCGCGTTTCTTTTCCGTTTGATTAATGCTCGCCATCCGGTTCGGTCAGTCAGCTCAGAGCGAGGACCGGGCGTCTGTACAGTGCCTTTATCCCGTCAGTTGTGTCGAGAGAGCGGCCATTCAGCGTCCGGGCCGGTGATGTCACCTCGACACATCACTCGACCCGCCCGGCAAGGCCGAATTAGTGTCCAGGCCGTCGGAGACCATGAAAAAGGCTCAGTTATCAACACTCGCCGGTAAAAAGGCTACCGCTGCTGACAGCCGCAGGACCACAGCGGTCGCCGAGGGCTGTTTTTGTCGCGGCGTGTCCCCGGTCGCCTCTCCGACTCACGGTGACGGCCGAATACACGACCGTCGCTCACCGGAACAAGAGCAGCGCCGCAAACCACTCATTCATGGACGGCGACGCCAGCGCTACCCGCCCGCAGCGGACGACCGGGGAAACAGGCACGACATGAGGGCAACACCCCGGCCACCCGCGAAACATTAGCATTACAGGCACTTACTGTAACCATAAGTAAAATAGATGTCATCAATTTACTGGCGGGGTATCATTCCTTATCATAATCAAGATGTTCCACAACTAACTATGAGAAAGTCATCGCTATGGCTCGGCCCAGCAGCGCGGTCAGCATTTCGCCCGGCCGCCAGTGCCACCCTGTTCACCTGAGGGACACGCAGCCAGCCATGGAATACGGACCATTGTCCTGCAGGCGGGTCGGGTCGGCGGCCGGCCAGCCGCTCAAAACTGGCACACGCGCCGCGCACGCCGGCGCCGGAGATATTTGGAAAGCGAATGTGAAACAGGTCAGTGCGCCGCTCCAGCCGCCGGGCCTGGAGCCGGCAGATGGATAGACGGACGGACTCGGACAGAGACCATGAGCGGCGCAGGTCCCCGCGGCCGCGCGCACGCCGAGTTTGGCGGCGGTTCCGCCGGCCGGACACGCCGCTCGAACGCGCTCCGCTGCGCGGACAGTACCGAGAAAGCCACAAACCCGTTCGCCGGCCCGCGGGGGTCATGGAGTGTGGCTATGGCCGTGGCCACAGCGTCAGGTGCATAAGGTCCAGCAGCTAGCAGCCGGTAGCACAGCGCTCTGTACCGACATACGCGAATACGCGCCGATTCAGATCTACTTCAAACCCGACTAATGGGAATATGATGGACGGCGCTCGAGACCGCGGCGCCGACACACAGACGGACGCGAGTTTTATCGGCACGGCTGCGAGCGCGTTATATTTGCGCTATCAGCACATGAGCACACACACGAGATGAAAAACTGATCGTTTCGCCCACACAGGAGAACGTCCCACTGATATCAGCGGGGAAAACTTGATCAGCCCCACGCAGGTTCCTCACAGCTCTCCAACACATCAGAGCTATTTGAAATCGACACCTACGCTGGTCGAGGAGCGGCTATCATCTGCGTGAGGCGGGCTCCCCACATCTTCACAGGGCGCCCGTCGGATATCCGTCGCTTGGGACATCGGTCGAGGACCGGTACTCGAAGGTCGCCAGACAAGGACGGCCCCGCCCAACGGATAGGACCGAGCACATGTGGCAGCAAGGCACAACGCCCTCATTAATTGGGGGCGTCCAAAATAGTCTGAGACTGAGGAAATAGTTTGACCTTACTGGGAACCAGAGCAAACTCAAAGTTCTGCGATGGTTGGGGAATGCGCCGCTGCAGCGTAGACGTTCAGTTCGATGCAGACTGGTGTTTGATTCATCTGTGATTGAATCGATTGGATTGAATCAAACAAAATTTGTTGAATCAAAAAGGTTTGATTCACCGTCAGGATTGTTTGATTCACAAGCCATGATTGAATCAAACGCATTGGGAATCAGGGTTGATTGAATCAAAAAAATTAATGATTCATGAACTTTAAAAAAATTGAAGTGAACGAACATAGTTCATTATCAATAAATATTAACACTACTGCCATTACATGACAACAAAAAGAACACAACAAATACAATACTATCCCTGATATTTTGTATATTTTATTTTTTAATTGAATCAAAAAAGAATCATTAAAAAAATGGCTGAATCAAACGTGAATCATTCCTTTTATTGTTTTTTTATTCTCTGAATCAAAAGGAATCGATTCACCAAATTTTTTGAAGGAATCAAACGGTGATTGAATCAAACAAAAATCAAATGAATCAATGATTGAATCGATCCAAAAAAGGTGAATCAAAAACCAGTCTGGTTCGATGTTCGCCGGCGACTCGAGTCGGATCAGTCACGCAAGATGTGCCGTCTGAAAAGCAGGGTTGTGCTCGACTCAAAAAAATTTGCCGACTCGACTCATCATTCAACTTCAGAATGCCCTGACTCAACTCTGACTCAAACAAGGAGCTGATTTTTTCCCTTGACTCGACTCATGACTCAAGCGGCTCAATGAAAATATGAGTTGACTCAAACTTGACTCAATTTTTTTTGTTGAGTCAAGTGTGTTGACTCAAAATTGACTCAGATAAAAAGTTGTTGAGCGGGGGGGGGGGGTGAAAAAATCCGGCAGCAGGGCCAGGCGTAAGTTGTTAAGCGGGGGGAGAATGAAAAACTTATACTATATATTGTTTCTAAAAAGTTGAGTCAGCTGACTCATGTTCCTAAATGTTCTTGACTCAACTCAATGTCAAAAGTTATTTTACTGACTCAACTCTGACTCAACTCAACACCTTAATATTTTTGTCCGACTCAACTCTGACTCAACTCAACAGCTCAACCTTTTATCCGACTCGACTCAAATCTGACTCATTTGAGTCAGAGTTGAGTCAAATTTCTGACTCGACTCATGAGTCAAGCACAACCCTGCTGAAAAGCACCAAAACACCATGCCAATTCCTAATGAATATACGGCCAATAAGAGCCAGCACCGCAGCAATGCTTTCCAATCACGCTAGCAGCTTGCTATCTGACCCAGTCAATGAGCGCCGGGTCATGGTGCGTCAGGCTCCCCTCTCCCAGCTGCGCCAACACGGACTCCACGGCACAGAAACGGGGCCGTCCGCAGCAGAGTCAAAGCTCAGTTGGCCGGTAAAACTAAACATGGGAAGCTCTGCCACGGACTGTGTTGCACTGTTGCAGACCCGCCCCCGCACGGCCAATGGACATGCTCTTTGTTATCCCCGTCACAACAGACCAGGCGGGGCGGGGCGGAGGGAGGCAGAGACGGTCCAGTGGTCACCACGGTCGGCTGATCGTGCAGAGGATTCACCTCACAGCGGAATAAACACACTCCGGCTCCAGGCCGGGTCCGTGCATACCGTCAGTCGAATCACGCGCTGAGTGCACCGGTACCGCCCCCTGCAGCACTGTAGGAACTCCAGCTGTACCTGTCAGCGTGTGTGCACTGGTACCGCCTCCTGCAGCACTGTAGGAACTCCAGCTGTACTGTCAGCGTGTGTGCACTGGTACCGCCCCGCTGCAGCACTTCTGCAGAACACGAGCGCTTCTGTAGAACTGACCGTCCAGGCCTGCAGTTCCGCGGAGCCGCGGTGCCCTCACTACACAGCAGCATGCATTGACGGACAACCTCAGGCGACAAGAATCAAACACCGGCGAGGAAAGCCGTCCGCGCAGCACGGCGCGCGGTCATGCACGGCGCGCGGCCGGTGCGCGGTGCACACACGCAAGGCCCCGGCTGCGGCGGAGGACGTCCGAAGGTAATCTGATGCGGCACGGCACTCCGGAGCCGCTCAGAACACGGGTAATCTGGTCACACAGCGCGCAGCCGGTACCGAGTCGGCAAAAATGTCGTCTCGGCGACATCTGAGCGGCGGGCGCCGCACGGGGCAGTGGCTCTCGGGTGGTCAGACACGCCACGCGTCTCAGCAGGTATGATATCATCGGAGTTAGCCACAGATGAAAGCCGGTCCGGACACGGCATGTGTGTGTGCCGGATGAATGCTGCTCTTATGAACCACACATCAACAACATTGCACTGCAGGTTCGTTCTCAAACGGCTGCCATGCGAGATGAAAGAGGTCGAATAACGAGATGCAAACGCCACTTACAGGACATGAATATGACGGAACGAAGTAACAAACGGCAAAGCATGTCGTGTATGATAAAAATCGGAACCCACCATGACCAGCTCTCACACTGATCACTTGTAAACCAGACGGCAGTCCGAGATCCAGATTTCAGCGGCCGGACCAGTTCGTCAGCCAACCCTAAACAAACCCCCACCCATGACTCGATGGCGGCGCCGCGCCGGGACAGCCACGCCGGACCGACCGTCACGGACATCCCACGGCTCGTCACGGACGTCACGGACACGTCACGGCGCGGTCACGACTGGCGGCACGGACAGCCAGCCGAACGGCGGCCCGCCGGCCGCTGGCCATTGCGGTGTGCCGGGCCGGGCCGACCGGTACAGCCGCGCCCACCGCGGTGGGAGGGTCGGCGGTCATCGTCCGGCGCGGCACCGACCGACCTCAGCCGGCCGCGGTCACCGGCCGACACAGCGCCGCAGCTGACACGGGATCATGTGTCCCCACACCAGCTCCAAACAGCCGCTACCCCGGCGGACCCAGCCCGGAGCCCAGCAGCCCGGCCGCACCGCCATCGGCGCCCGAGCGGCGTCACTGGAAACTGCGCCTCAGCGACCACCCAGGGCGGGAGGCGCGGGGCGGCCGAACAAAGACACAGCTGCGACACCGGAGCACCCTCACACTGACCCGTCGGCCTCCACCCGATCCCCACAGCCCGCGGGCACTCACCGGTCAGCGATATCCACGGCGCCGTCTGCTGGCGCCCGTCCGCTCGGTCGGCCCGATCCGCCGAGCGCGCGCGCTCACCCCACCGGCCGCAACTCAAAGCTGGCGGCCGCCGCGCCGCCGGCCGCGCTCCACGTTCGTTGACTCGGCCGTTCACCGGCGCCGCGGAATTCCAGGCGACTCTAGAGCGGAGGGGTAACGGGACCGGAGCCCGGCGCCGCCGGCCGCTGATCGATGACCGCCCGGAAACTGCCGCTCCGCCCGACCCATACCACAGAGCGCTCATCTTGTTAGCAACCCTCAGCGGCGCCTCCCTTCAACAGACCGGCTAATCCCTAAAAGGATTAGCCGAAAGGGACGATCCAGACTCCAGACTACCGGTGACATTCGCTGGAAACTTCGAAACGATGCCGATAAAATGGGCGAGTTTATTTACAAATGTGGCTGTGCTGAGTAATAAAACACGGCGTACAAAACGGTCTCTGTGATGTGCATAAACATCACACTCTGTGAACACAGGCGCAGAGACGCCTTAAAAACGACGGTGAGTGGAGCAGTCAGACATATCAATAGCAAGAATATTATCACAAGTGTGCGGAGTCCCGCTGGCAGTGACTGTGCGACCCCGTCTGGCCGGCCCGCCGGCCCGCCGCGGTCAGTGTTTGCCCCGGCCGTCGCCGGCGCCGTCCATCTCCCGGCCGTTCTTTTGTTCGGCCTTCTCGGCCTCGGACAGGTGCGACGTCTCGCGCTTCACCACCGACAGCAGCGCCTGCGAGCTCTCCAGGATCTTCTGGTAGGCGCCCTCGGCCTCGGCGATGATCCTGTTGTACTCCTTGCTGAGCTGCTGTTTGTGGCGCAGGCTGGCCGTGCAGCGGTCCAGCTGGCTCTGCAGCTCGGCCGCCTGCCGCTCCAGCTGCTGGCGGTGCCGCTCCTCGCGCGCCGTCTCCTCAGCCAGTACCTGCTGGCGCCGCTTCAGCTCCTCCACCGTCTTGACCAGCTCGATGTTGAACGTCTGCAGCGCGGCGCCGTGCTGAGACATGGCGGAGCCGATCTGCCGGCGCACCGGGGCCGCGGTCAGCGCCGGCGCGGCGGCCCAGCAGGACTGAGGACTGGCAAACAGGAGGTCGAGGCCGACGCCAGGTCGGCAGAGCTCGAGGACGGTACCGAGAGCCGTCAAATCCCTAAAAAAGGACGCCAACGGAGGAGAGCTGGACTGAGACCAATGGAAGGCAAGACGGAACGGATCGGAGACAAGTACGACTAGCTAAGGAAACGGACGACGGTATATTTGGAAAGAGACAAACCAACCAGCAAGAGAATGAGCAAGGAGCCTGCTCAGGCCTCAGTAGCTGCCAAAAGTGGGTGCAGTATTGTGGAAAAATGCTGGTTAATAGTTTACCAAATTTCCTTGTGAAAACTGGGAATTGATACACTGGCAATCAGGGATGCGGAGCCGGAGCCGGAGTCGGAGCCGGAGCCGCCGGAGCCGGCATATTTTGCCCGGAGCCGGAGCCGGAGCCGGAGCCGTGAAACAATATAGCCCGGAGCCGGAGCCGGAGCCGGAGCCGCCAAAAAAGGGGGCGACTCCGGCTCCTTTTTATTTTTTTGAAGAGGAAAAAAATAATTGACCTAGTTCGGTTTGACAGTACAAGGCAGTAAAACGATATGGTACTTACGTCATGGGCCATCAAGTGAATGAAAAAATCCGAATATCCCCAGTATCCCACAGTACGCAAACAACTTCCTGTTTGCTCTTCCCCCCCCCCCCCACGTCTACTGCATCCCCAGAACATGAGGACCAGTCATCAGGTGACGGCCATTGTTTTCAAACCAGTGCAGTGGACTGCGACTCCCAGCACCGTCTCATCCCCCCCCCCCACCCCTCACCCCCCAATGCAGCCGAGACGGGTGTCAGCTTACGATGGTTCACTGAACTCCGATCCGATTCGCGGCGACTGCGTTTCCAATGCCATCGCTTCCTAGCCCTTTGTTCTGCCAGTTCTCTCCGAGGTGCGTTTGCGCGGGGACGCGGTGAGCCGGTCATGGCAAAGAGTAACGCGTATAACCAATCCAATTTTTCTTCCACCCGTATTTAATTGATTGCGTAGGGGATGTACTGAGTCGGAGCCGGAGCCGCCGGAGCCGGAGCCGCCGGAGCCGGACCATTTTACTCGGAGCCGGAGCCGGAGCCGGAGCCGCCATACCATTTCACCCGGAGCCGGAGCCGGAGCCGGAGCCGATTTTTTTCTCCGGAGCCGGAGCCGGAGCCGGAGCCGTCTGAAATTTCCACGGCTCCGCATCCCTGCTGGCAATAAGACACATTGGTAATTGATCAATTATACCAATCTTTCCAATGACCCAACTTCAGTGGCTCTATGATAAATTCAGATTAGAGAATAATAGTTATTGCAACAAGCAAGGGAACATAACATGTCATAGCTTGCAATAAGATGTCAATGGCATAGCATTTGATCTATATCAAGAGTAATCCAAATATTTTGTCTATTGGGAGCAGCTCATGCTGTCAGTTGTCTCTATCTCATGCTGCCAATCTCATCTCAAAATGCTGATATTGACATAAGAAAATCAAATGTTTAAATCTCACTTCAAATGCTCCCACATCCACAGGCCACCAGCCACTTCTAGATTAAGGTGGTAATGCGCATTATGACTGTAGTTAGCAAATATCAGGAAACAATAAGAGGGCATCTCACGCTCTAAAGTCTCATGCCGCACATTTCCGTCACACTAGCACATGCAGATCAAGATGCAGTGACAGGGCGCACTATGCTATTGCACTAGTGACTAGATCAGTGGTCGGCAGGTCCTCCGGGGTCGTGCCCCCTTTTTTGGCGCCAGGCAGGGCCATTACCCCCACCAACCAGACCCCATTGCTGATACAACCACGGTTACTGAAATTCCATAGGTACTTTTCCGTGACTCTTAAGGTACCATATCTGCGAGAAACCGCAGGCCCCCTCCCCTGCGGTTTCTCGCAAATATCTCAAAAACGTTGGCACGGAGTGCCACCATTTTGGTACAATTGATCATACATCGTTTCATCGTTTCTGCACATGTTGTGAATATTTCAGACCAGAGTCACTCAAGGTCAGGTCACCAGATCACGTCAAGTGACCTCACCTCAGTAAAGACTGTAACGCCTGCTTTAGCTGCATTGAGTGACAGATCTCTTTCAAACTTTCAGGAATTGATAAAGGCGACAGCATGTACAAAATTTGTATCTCGGAGATTTGATGTCGGTGACCAAAGTTCAGGTCAATTTCACGCCCTCTCCCATTATCAATGGGAGAGGACGCAAAGTAAATGGTAGAAAATTGAAAGGCGCCTCTTTTGGACCAGTGTCATTCCTAACACTGTGACACTCTTATTTACAAGTAAACATGACCGCTGAACCGGAAAATTGCACCCGTAACCCCGCTGTATGTCCCTGAGGTCATTTCAGGTCATGAATGGTATCTAACAGCTTTTCGCTAATAACTTTTGATAAAGGCATGCCAGAGCGATGAAAATGCCTTAGATGTGTTCAGCTCGACGATACGGATCGATTGATGTGCAACAAAACCTTCGATGCTTCTCGACGGGAGGATCACGATGCTGATAAAATTGAGCTCTTGCAAGTTTTGAGTGACAAGTTATTTAAAGGAAATAGTTCACTTTTTAACATGGGTTTTGAACTGGAATAGCAGTTCCGTAGCTTGGGCTGAGACGAGCATAAATCAGGAGCTTTTACAGCCCAACGATCACCCTAGGCAAAGATATTCTATTTCTCGTCCCGAAAAAGGTGTCTTGCGTTGAGGATGTGTGCCTTGCATATATTTCCATCCAGTATGAAAAGAGCATGGGTCCCGAAAATTCTTCAGAAACTAGAGAAATTATCTACGAGAACTCTAGAGAAATTCTCGTACTGATCAATTAGGACATTCAGGGGAACATTATCAGATCGAGCAGATCGCCCAAATGCCGGTGGCTGCGATAATTTCTCTGTTTCTGAAGAATTTTCGGGACCCATGCTCTTTTCATACTGGATCGCTGTGCCTTACAGAAACTGAAAAGTTCTTCCTATATCAAAATATAGAAAAAAAATCTTTTGTTATAAAAAGGTTTTATTTTCTTTCCTGATTATTTTGAACATAAAAAATAATAAATCGTTGCAAAAAAAAAATAATTTCGTGAAAGTGAACTATTTCCTTTAAGAAAAACTATCAGCAAGCAACGTACATTTTGGCAGTTTTTGTCTCCTGCAGGCTAAACCGTTAATCTTCGGTTGAATCTGTGGGCAAGCATCAGAAAAAACGTTAAAGAGAGCTATCGAATGCGCAGCGCAGTAGCTTTATCCGCAGCTTTTTCCGCAGCGCTGTAGCTCTATCCTTTCCTGAGCTATAGGCCAGTTTGTCGAAAACTTGTCAAAGGTTGACCTGGAAATTGGCGAAATTTTACGTTCGATGACCTCCGGTGACCTGACCTTTGATTTGACCTAAAAAGTGACCATATTTTTTCTTCATCATTTCTTACGCTCTTTCGATCGCCGACTACGGCGTTTCGCTAGTGACCCAGGAGCCAAGTTAGTAGGGGGTGTTCAACCTCCAACTCCAGCAGGGCGTGGAAATCCAGGAGCCCCAGCGGGGCGCGGGTTAACCCCCATACTTATAGGGGTAGCGGGTATTTTTCAGGAATAGATCACGTTAAAAGGGTCGGATTACGAAAAAACTGTACCATCGAGCCGATCATTTTTATCTGTCCTGAAAATGGCATGACCTTAACCCGAATAACCGTTGATTTGTGGGATCTTTCTTGAGATCATGGTAGGCCACAAAATCTCACTTCAAGAAGTTACAGCAGGACCCGATTTACTCGGCAGTTGTTATTGACCTATGGAAGGTCACCCAATGACCAACGACCTTTAAATTGGGTAGCAGCGGCTGCTTATCTTCACGGGCAACACGCTCAATTTTTCTGCAAAGCTCCAGCTCAGAGACCGAGATGCCCAGGTCAGGGTGCCATTGACGACTCCTCTTCCTTGCGTTAGTGACTGTGAAAACGCCAATAGACGAGCGCCGGTTGGTACATGACAGTTACTTTCAACGACTGTACGGAATGGTGAGCAGTTACATGAAAATTGACATGCGCCAGCTTATCAGTTCATGCTTTGTGCGTTTGACCTCGACTAATCTTTGAATCCGGGGGCACAACAGTTGCGATGTTTGTCCCATCAAGGGAGCCATTAATTCTAAAAAAGATGAGGCTTTCTCAGAGGCCCTCATTACCCCCCGCCGAAGGGCGCCATTACCCCCAAAGGGGGCATGCCCCACCATTTGCCGACCCCTGGACTAGATCATGAATTGCCAAAAAAAGGCATCACATTGTGTTGATCATGAAAATCAAGTCACACTTAGGTATGTCAGGTATTGGTGCTTCAAACAAAATAAGAACCAAGTCTTTACCATTACTTACCTTGACCTGGGTGCTGATCTTTTTTTCTTGTCCGATGTTGAATTTCGAATTTGAATTAGACACAATCTCAATTCAAATTGTTTCCGTTGATAAAAGAGCTTTGAATACTAAATATAGAGCAAGGAATATGTTACTAGCTCGCTAACTTCATAACTGTTCAGAAAGAAATGCCATACACTATAGACTCAGGCCTCAGCATCCAATAAACTTACCAAAATTCAAAAATAATTTGAACTCGCGCACAAGTACCCTACACTCTGGATTCGCCAGAATTGTATAATTGTATCAAAACAAAAAGCTTGGCCTGCCATATGAAGGATTGCGACCACCATAGGAAGAAATTGCGACCTTCGTGTGAACTTTTTGGAAGAGCGAAAAGCAGGAAAAACAAATTTTAACTTTTTTGCTGTATGCCAATTTTGAATTTCGATTCGATCAATACAAAATTCACTTAGGAATCACTTATGGTAATGACTAAATTTGGGAAAAGGGAAAAATATTTCACACTTTTTGGGGGAAATAAAATTCATTGCTACCATATTTGATAGGAGGCGCTAAAAAGCGTCATATATGCCGCGGTATTTATAGGCTGTGAATGTTTTTTACTTAATTTACTGATTTCATTTTAGTGCATGTGTCTGTACTACCTCGTAGTATCATTGTTATAACAAGTTAGAAGCCACATTGAATCCGATAGGCCCCCAAGCCTGTTCTGTGACCTCTGAGTCTGACGAATGCCTCGACCCACTTCAGCTTGCGTAACATTGAAATAAGGCTAAAATGTTGAGATTTTACTCAATCGTGGTTTTTGCTACCTATCTTTTGGCATATCAACATAAAATATATTGAAGTGTTTATTTTATTGGCATTGGTAAAGTTGGCATCACCATTGGAGCTAACTGGTACCTACCTACATAAATGTGTAGATGAAGTCTGAGTAAAAAACAATTGAACCTTACCTAACCAGTGGCAGTAACCTTACCTACTAACTTACAACGTACCAACCTACATACCTAAAACCTACCAACCTATGACCTACAACCTACCCACCTACCTACCACTGACAGGTGATGGTGACACCAGCTGTACCTATACCCTTTTATTTAGCAGTTCTTACAGTGTTCTAAATGCCTTTTGTGCCAAGAAGTACCTACCTACCTAACATGTTAGCATGTTTCCTATCCACATTTGTACTCCAATCTCATTTTATAGACAGATTGAAGGGTAGGATGAAGATGAGATAGAATTAAAGCATTACAAACTTTACAGCATCAGTTAAAGTTGGTTGGTAGCTTGTTGATATTGAAATCAACCAATACAATCAATCTTTGTTAATGCATAGACATTTAACCAATGTTTTGTCACACAGCATTGTACATTAAAAAGTCATTGAAAGAAGGTTCAGTTTTCAATTTTAGTATGTAACATTTTATCCTTGTCTTTTAATTATTTTCTTTTAATGCACCACCAGATACCTATATGATATGGTAATGTTAAAATGGTTTTGCAGTGGTTTTGCAGTGTTCCGCATAACAGCTGAGGCAGTCCGGAACAAGCTTTCCTCTCTCAAAACGGACAGCACTCCCGGTCCCGATGGTTTGCACCCCAAGCTTCTGCAGTTGGCGTCTCAGCCCCTGGCTGGTCCATTGGGTTCCCTGTTTGAAGCTTCCCTCGACCAAGGAGTCCTTCCAGCCTCATGGAAAACAGCGTCAGTCTTTCCCATACACAAGAAGGGTAACAAGCAGACCCCGGGGAATTACCGGCCCATCAGTCTCACATCAATCCCTTGTAAGGTCATGGAGTCCCTGATCCGCGATGAGCTCATGGACTTTCTGTCCCTCACAAACCAGTTTTCCAGACACCAACACGGATTCCGGCCCAGAAGATCATGCAGTTCACAACTTCTGGAGGTATTGGAGCACTGGTGTAAGATGATCGAGGAAGGTGACTCAGTTGATGTGGTGTACCTGGACTTCCGCAAGGCATTCGACGCTGTTCCGCACAACCGACTTCTGAGGAAGCTGCGCAGCTACGGTATCTCTGGCAAACTCCTCCGATGGATCGAAGCATTCCTGTCGGGAAGAAACCAGAAAGTCGTTGTCAATGGAAGCCACTCTGATCTGGTTCCTGTCAAGAGTGGAGTTCCTCAGGGTTCGGTTCTTGGTCCCCTCTTGTTCCTGCTGTACGTCAATGACATCTCATCTGCCGTTAACTGTACATCCAAGATGTTCGCCGACGACACAAAGGTATACAGCGGCGTATCCAGGCAGAACGGCAAAGATTTTTTTTTATAAATTTAGTCCGAATGGTTGAATGGGTGGATTTGAGGAATCAGAGCCCGCACTAAGCATAGCTTGTTGTGCTGACCCTGACCCCACCACCCGATCGCGCAATTCCAGCTGTATGGCAGAATTTTGTCCGAACGTTTAACGTGCCCTCACGACTGGACACGGCCCTCTCCGCTCACTCACGTTACCTGGCTACTGTGCGGCCCCTGCCACAGACACGCACGCCATTACACGTAGGAGCTAAATGTGGCCGCCCGCACCGGGGCTTGAACCGGGCTCTCACTACCGGCTAAGCGTCGAATTCCGGCGCTTTAATCCACTCGGCCACGGAGGGGACAAAGATGCCCAGGATGTTGCAACTGAGGCCGTGGGGTTGGCTGTCGCTCGTCCCCGAGCTGTCAGTGACCACCCTACTCGACCAGTGCAACCTGTTGGCGGTGGGCAGAACCAGAGCGGCAGACATGCCCATCTCGTGGCAGCTGGGGTTGGGCTTGGAGGGTTGGCTGTCGCTCAACCCAGAGCTGTCAGTGACCACCCTACTCGACCAACGCAGCCTGCCGATGGAGTACTGAACCAGAGTGACAGAGATGACCATCTCGAGGCAGCTGAGGTTGGAGGGCTGGCTGTCGCTCAACCCAGAGCTGTCAGTGACCACCCTACTCAACCAATGCAGCCTGTTGATGGAAGACAGACCGCTACTCGACCTCAAACCTCCCTACTGGCTGATGGAGCAGCGACTACATCGGGAGCGCTAGCCCTCCAAGCTGATATTGATGCACTTGTGGCATGGTCTGACAAATGGCAGCTCCCGTTCAATGAAGAGAAGTGTAAGGTTCTGCATCTGGGTACAAATAATCCCAAACTCCGATACACGATGCGAGGAGTGTGTCTGGAAGAGACTGAATGTGAACGGGACCTTGGCATTCTGGTAGATTCCTCCCTAAAATTCCGGAGGCAAGCATCCGCAGCCGTGGCAAAGGCCAACCAGATCTTAGCAGTGATCAGGCGGTCGTTCGAATTGATTGATGAGTGTACTCTTCCCCTGCTATACAAGACTCTCGTTCGCCCTCACCTGGAGTACGGCAATGTGGCTTGGGGCCCATTCAATCGAGCTGATCAACTTCTAATCGAACGCGTCCAAAGAAGGGCAACCCGCCTGGTAGCCTCTCTCAGACACCGCCGGTACGAGGAACGACTGGAGGCACTGAAACTGCCATCGCTGTTTTATCGGCGACGCCGAGGAGACATGATCCAGGTGTACCAAATCTTTCATGGAGGGGTTGATCTGGCTCCAGAAGAGTTCTTTACTGCCGCTGCATCCGACCGCACCCGAGGCCATCCATGGAAAATCGCAAAACCCAGAGCTGAGTCAAGACCAAGGAGACAGGCTTTCAGTGCCCGGGTGGTCAATGACTGGAACGGCCTACCCATGTCAGTTGTTGGCGCCGGCTCTGTTGAGCAGTTCAAATCCGAACTCGACGCCCACTGGGCAAACTTCAGGTACCTGGTACCTGACTGGAGATAGTCAAGTCTCAAAGGATTCGAGCTCGATGAGAACGGTTCCCTACAGGCCAAGTGGCCTTTAAAATTCCGATCAAATTAAGGTAAGGTAAGGTAAGGTGTTTGCAGATTGAATTGCACTAATGCAGTATGTAGTATTCCTACTACTGATGGTCTTATGAAATGATAGTATATTGTTCATTTTGACAAATGTTTACTTTAATGAAAAACAATATCAAATTCTTATCTGTATTCAATGTAAACGCGTTTCGATTATTTCTTTATCAATACATTGGTACAATACAGATAATGAAAACACACGATTCAATGTGGGTGAACGCGAGCGATGAGATTGATATCTCAAACATTATGACCTATTCACGTGGCAAAACTTTCTGTTCCCTCCATAAAATTCTACCCAAATTTGGTGCCAATGAGTAATCTCCTCTTTTTGAGTTGATGTTTGGCAAACATTCAATCACCGCAGCTTCGATCAGTTTTCGTCGATTTTTCCCTTTTCCGCTCCATAGAATTCTTGCGTCTTTCCACTTCGGTAAATGGTTTTGTTCCTCTATATGAATAACGAAAGAGCTTGTATCTTTGTGGTTTCGAACGTCTCTTTTATGTTCGTCTATTCTCTTCTTCATTCCTCGATATGTTTCGCCTATATAAGATTTGGAACACCCCCCGCACGGAACTCTGTACACGACGCTGTCCAAACTTTCGTCCCCCGTTCTTTTCTTGATTATATCTTTAGTCTTAAGACCGGTCCTTTCCAGAAGTATGACGCCTGCCTGTCTTAAGGCCTTAGATATGATGTCTGTATTTTTGCTGCCTGGTACTACTATCGTTCTATGGTGTTCTCTTTTTCTATTGTTCAGTGACCCAGATGACCTTCCTCGTATTAGTTTTGCTCTTCGTAGGCATTTGATTAAGAACGCCTTTGGATATTGAAGTTTTTTAAATGAATCGAATATGTGATCGATCTCGTCATCGATGTAATCGGGACTGCAAATCCGATACGCGCGTAAGAAAAAGCCAATCACCACCCCGGATTTCACCCTTTCACCGTGTGCCGAGAGATAGTGTATATAATCTTCACGGTTTGAGCTCTTTCTGTAGACTTTGTATTTCAGGTTTTTCCCACTCTTGATCATGAGAATGTCCAGGAATGGCAGCATGCCATCATTCTCAACTTCAAGTGTGAATTGGATGTTTCTTTTAACTTCGTTCAGTTGCTGGAGCTTTAACGTGAGATCAGTGTCTTCTGGCACCACTACAAAGACATCATCGACGTACCGGTACCAAATGGTCTCAGTTCCCATGACATGTTTGAAGTGATCCTTCTCTAGCATTTCCAGGTAGAGGCAGGCCGCAACTGGACTGAGGGGCGATCCCATTGCTAGGCCGCTCACTTGCGCATACTGTCATGTCATGGGAACTGACATGTCATGGGAACTGAGACCATTTGGTACCGG